TCTTCTTCTTCTTCTTCTTCTTCTTCTCCTTCTTCTTCTTCTTCTTCTTCTTCTTCTTCTTCTTCTTCTTCTTCTTCTTCTTCTCTTTCCTTCTATATTATCACAAGTGCACTCTCAACTGGATTTCTGCCAAGACAGCAGCTTTGTGCTCCGTGTACTTAGCTAATGTCACCACAAATCTAGTGCAAAAGTGAGTGAAAAACAAAACAGAACAAAACAAAAACACTTGGCATGAAAGCTCGGATGACTCAGGATGTAACGCCCCCCCCCCCCAAACAAAAGAAAAAAGCAAAACAAAACCAGCATCATCCAACGAACTGCAAAGGCGGTACGCAAAGTTCCCGTTTTGTTTTGGTTCTTTTTTTCTCCATAGATGTAACCCGGGTTTGAAAGACCTCGTTTTGGCCCATTTCACAATCGCACTCTGCATTGTAACAAAGGTCCCTAACAAGATTGTTAACTCAGCCAAAAAAAAGTGTCCGCGCGAGCATTGGTTCAGATGGCGTTGCAGTCTTTGTTTTGAAGATCTACAGAAATAGAACATTTTTCTCCCAAGTAGGGCAACGCTGTTCGCAAACCGCGCGCTTTCTGAAGCGATTTTTAAAGACATAAAAAAAAAATTGGCCCAAAAAGAGGATTGAGCTATCTTGTTAGCCTATGTACGATCTTTGCATGTAATCAGTTTGAAAATTATTAGTTATACCAAAGGTGATACATGTAGACTCTTTGGTTACACAGAATCTTTGTTATTAGTGGAAGTATCGATTCTATGATAGAGCGCAATTATTACAAAAGAGTCTACATAACAAGAGGGTCCACTCCTCTCTTTGAGCCAATTAAAAAAATGTCCTCAAAATTCGGGGGAGCCCTCTTCACAAATGTGCACCATTTGCGAACAGTTACCCTACTTGTGTTAAAAAAATCAAAGTGAAACTAACAAGTTTTTGAATAAATAAGAATTCAAAATTTCGGAAGAACGCTTTTTAAAAATGGTTACGCTGTCAAAAAAACTCTTCCGGAGGAAAGGGTGACTTTTTTCGTCGTTTAATGTGACTTTAGAATGAAAGGCGAGAGGTCATAAAAATAAAAAAAACCTAAAACTCCGCACTGAAGTAACCCGAACAGCTGATGAACAGCAGTTGATCTGCGCACGCAAGGAGGTGCTATTCCTATTCTTCTTCTGGAGAAACGAAAGAGAGCTTCAAAACAGACTGCAGCGCAATCTGAAGCAAAGAGCGGACTTCCGGCGGATACTTTTTTGGCTGAGTGGACCATCTTGTTATGTACTATCTTTCTTATTACGTGGGCCCAAAACGGATGAACCATACGAGTTTATTTACCCTGTCGACACTGTATGGGTTTTAAAAACAGATGTTATAGAAGTAGAAGAGATCTCAGCAGGTGGAGAACCTTAAAAACTCCAACAACACTATTTGTAGAACGCCTATATATTGAGGATTTGAACCAAGGTCATCTGCGCTGTAGT